GGGGGGGGGGGGGGGGCTGATTGTGGCCCCGTTCTTACTCTGTATCAGGTCCATGGCAACCATCCACGTCACAGCTGCCGCCCCACCAGCCGTCACAGTCGGAGCCGCAATCGGGGCCGTATGAACCAAAGTACGCCCAACTAAAGGAGAGAGCACAGGTGCACCAGCGTGCCACCTTGGGATGAGGTGTCGAGGCAGGAGGGGAAGCTGCGATCTCAAATGATTGGCGTGTGACTTCTGAACGTACCTGGGGCCTTCACAGGTGCAAAGCCCACTACAACCATTCTTGGAGATTGCACGGCGCACGCGAAGGGTGGATTGGTGCTCAACAAAGAGCTGTGCAATGGCCGCGGGGCCACCCAAATCAGCGTCGGCCGTCGTGTCCACGACATGGTGCAGCACCTTGGCTTGGTCCATGGTGAGGAGCATGCAGGGGCTGGTGGAATCAAGGCCCACATCTTGCTCCGTAAAGCCGGCGGCTTCGACCAGGTCACCGCAGTCCACACCTTGAAAGCCGATGGTGGCGTGGACTGAGGTCACGTTGGTGGTCCAGGCCACGTGACCAGCGCGGCGGGGCAAGAACAAGACGTCGCCGGGATACAAAGTGAATTCTTCGCACGATTCAGCATTGTCCACCTGGGGCATGTGCAGGCAGACGCGCAGGGGTGAGTGAGTGGGGGCCTCCTGACAGGCCGGGCGGTTGTGAGCTGGTGCGTCGCCGGGTGCGGGGCTCAGACCTGGCAGACGAGCCAATGCTTTTCGCCCTGAAGTTGAAGAATGAGAATGTGGTAGTTATCTGTGTGGGGGTTGATGGCGGGCTGAGTGGCTGGGGCGGAAGTGAAATAGAGATGAATGGTGAGCTTGAAAAAGTGTTGGATGCCGCGACGGATGAAACGGCCGACTGGGGAGCGGGTGAGGTCCTCAGCGTTGATGCGGAAGATGGAGTCGGGCGTGGTTTCTAGATAGTCACCCAAGGCTTGGGCCTGGTAATCACGGTTTGGACTGTCCATGACGGTGACATTGAGGGTAGACAGGGGGTCCACGCTCTCGCCTTTGATAAAGTAACGCAGGTAAGGAATTGTATCCGAGCTGGCATTGAGAAAGTCG